ATATTGCTGCACACTAACAGCACCTTTCAAGGCAGGTGAAATTGCCGACCTAGAAAATGTACAGAGAACTTTCACGGCGCGCATAACGGAGATAAAACACCTCAATTATTGGGAGCGCTTGAGGTTCCTAAACCTGTATTCCCTGGAACGCAGGAGGGAGAGATACATGATTATATACACCTGGAAAATCCTAGAGGGACTAGTACCGAACTTGCACACGAAAATCACCCACTACGAAAGCAAAAGACTTGGCAGACGATGCACCATCCCCCCAATGAAAAGCAGGGGTGTCACTAGCACGTTAAGAGACCATACAATAAGTGTCAGGGGCCCGAGACTGTTCAACTGCCTCCCAGCACACATAAGGGGGATTACCAACAGACCCCTGGTAGTCTTCAAGCTGGCACTGGACAAGCACCTAAAGTCAGTTCCGGATCAGCCGGGCTGTGGCTCGTATGTTGGTTTGCGTGCAGCCAGCAGCAACAGCCTGGTTGATCAGGCTCTGATCCACCAGGAGGCCTGGTCTCAGACCGGGCCGCGGGGGCGTTGACCCCCGGAACTCTCTCCAGGTAGACTCCAGGTCTCCAGGTAGAATATGAGAATCAAAATATATGCAGGATATTAGGTTATTTTATGTTACTTTTGGGAAAAATTTTGGACAGTCGAGGGAACATCGTCAGCAATTAAACTTTGTACATGGATGTGTGATGGGTTAAATGAATTATTAAAACGTGATTAAATATGTGTAACTTATGTAAATAATATGATTGTAAAGAAAATGTAAAAAAAAATGATACATAAATATAATCGATTCTAAATAACTTTTAGAACGAAGTATTTTATACGTTGGTTTTGTATGATTTGAGTTAAATTTTCTCTCTTGATTGTTGAGCCCAGTTGTGTGTGTGATGTTTTTAGGCTGGTGTTCACAGGGCAGCGCTGTGTGGCCCCGGTGGTTTAGGGCAGTGCTGTGTGGCCCCGGTGGTTTAGGGCAGAGCTGTTTGACCCCGGTGGTTTAGGGCAGCGCTGTTTGACCCGGTGGTTTAGGGCAGCGCTGTTTGACCCGGTGGTTTAGGGCAGCGCTGTTTGACCCGGTGGTTTAGGGCAGCGCTGTGTGGCCCCGGTGGTTTAGGGCAGCGCTGTTTGACCCGGTGGTTTAGGGCAGCGCTGTGTGGCCCCGGTGGTTTAGGGCAGTGCTGTTTGACCCGGTGGTTTAGGGCAGCGCTGTTTGACCCGGTGGTTTAGGGCAGCGCTGTTTGACCCGGTGGTTTAGGGCAGTGCTGTGTGGCCCCGGTGGTTTAGGGCAGTGCTGTTTGACCCGGTGGTTTAGGGCAGCGCTGTTTGACCCCGGTGGTTTAGGGCAGCGCTGTTTGACCCGGTGGTTTAGGGCAGAGCTGTTTGACCCCGGTGGTTTAGGGAAGAGTTGTTTGACCCCGGTGGTTTAGGGCAGAGCTGTTTGACCCCGGTGGTTTAGGGCAGCGCTGTTTGACCCCGGTGGCTTAGGGCAGAGCTGTTTGACCCCGGTGGTTTAGGGCAGCGCTGTTTGACCCCGGTGGTTTAGGGCAGCGCTGTTTGACCCCGGTGGTTTAGGGCAGAGCTGTTTGACCCCGGTGGTTTAGGGCAGCGCTGTTTGACCCGGTGGTTTAGGGCAGCGCTGTTTGACCCCGGTGGTTTAGGGCAGCGCTGTTTGACCCCGGTGGTTTAGGGCAGCGCTGTTTGACCCCGGTGGTTTAGGGCAGCGCTGTTTGACCCCGGTGGTTTAGGGCGAGAGCTGTTTGACCCCGGTGGTTTAGGGCAGAGCTGTTTGACCCAGGTGGTTTAGGGCAGAGCTGTTTGACCCAGGTGGTTTAGGGAAGAGCTGTTTGACCCCGGTGGTTTAGGGCAGAGCTGTTTGACCCAGGTGGTTTAGGGCAGCGCTGTTTGACCCGGTGGTTTAGGGCAGCGCTGTTTGACCCCGGTGGTTTAGGGCAGAGCTGTTTGACCCCGGTGGTTTAGGGCAGCGCTGTTTGACCCGGTGGTTTAGGGCAGCGCTGTTTGACCCGGTGGTTTAGGGCAGCGCTGTTTGACCCCGGTGGTTTAGGGCAACGCTGTTTGACCCCGGTGGTTTAGGGCAGCGCTGTTTGACCCCGGTGGTTTAGGGCAGAGCTGTTTGACCCCGGTGGTTTAGGGCAGAGCTGTTTGACCCCGGTGGTTTAGGGCAGAGCTGTTTGACCCCGGTGGTTTAGGGCAGCGCTGTTTGACCCCGGTGGTTTAGGGCAGAGCTGTTTGACCCCGGTGGTTTAGGGCAGAGCTGTTTGACCCCGGTGGTTTAGGGCAGAGCTGTTTGACCCCGGTGGTTTGGTCCACAGGATAAGCATTAGGGTGTTTAATATGGTTATCAATCTAATTAACATTTACCAGTTTCTAAAGTGACTCTAATAACACTTGCCAGTTAGGTCAGTTAAGTAATTCCAGTATTATATGTTACATAGATACTTTGTAACTCCCTATAACACTTGTCACCTTCATGCGTGACAGTCATTCACACACCACCTGTGGCTTGGTGCAGTCTGAGGTGACACAAGCACCACCTATCACCAGGTACACTGTTGAGAAATGGCATACAATACCAACACGATGGCTAGACACTAATGCAATATAATGGGATTTTTTTATTGAGAACCTTTCGCCCCTAGAGTGGGCTTTATAAAGTCACCAGCAGGTAGATCCGTTAGGGACTTGATAAAGCTCACTGTATAGGCGAAACGTTACCAATAAAGAGCTACATCACAGCCCATATGTTTAGGAACATCGTAAGTCAGTCACAGCACTTCCTGTCTCCTAGGTACATTGTAAGTTGATCACAGTACTTCCTGTCTCCTAGGTACATTGTAAGTTGATCACAGTACTTCCTGTCTTCTAGGTACATTGTAAGTTGATCACAGACTTCTGTCTTCCCAGGGACATTGTAAGTTGATCACAGTACTTCCTGTCTTCTAGGTAAAATGTTTAAGTTGATCACAGTACTTCCTGTCTCCTAGGTACATTGTAAGTTGATCACAGTACTTCCTGTCTTCTAGGTACATTGTAAGTTGATCACAGTACTTCCTGTCTCCTAGGTACATTGTAAGTTGATCACAGTACTTCCTGTCTTCTAGGTACATTGTAAGTTGATCACAGTACTTCCTGTCTTCTAGGTACGTAAGTGATCACAGACTTCCTGTCTCCTAGTACATTGTAAGTTGATCACGTACTTCCTGTCTTCTAGGTACATTTGTAAGTGATCACAGTTTCCTTTTTCTAGGTACATTGTAAGTTGATCCGATTCCTGTCTTCTAGTACATTGTAAGTTGATCACAGTACTTTCTTTTCTAGGTACATTTAAGTGATCACAGTACTTTCTGTCTTCTGGTACATTGTAAGTTGATCCAGTACTTCCTGTCTTCTAGGTACATTGTAAGTTGTCACAGTACTTCCTGTCTTTTAGGTACATTGTAGTTGATCACCATTTCCCTGTCTTCTAGGTGGTTAAAAATCTCGCATTTTTTTCCCTTTTTTGTTTTTTAAAAAGTGATCTTGCAATCTACACTAAAATATTTCAAATCTACCAAAACCCTTGTGCCCTTGATACATTGTAAGGTGACCCATATTTGCGGTAAAAGAACTTTTTTAAAGGTGGTCATACCACCCCTGTCCCTACCTTATTTAAATGTAACATTATGTGAGGCAGATAAGATAAGAATTTTCGTTGGATTTTTAACCCCGGGAGGGTTAGCCCCCGGGAAAAACCCAAAAAAAATCAGTGCGTCATCGAGGACTGTCTAATTTATTTCCATTGGGGGCCCCTTATTTGCCCCCGGATCGACCCACACCGTGATAACCCCCGGGTACCTATTTGTTTCTAGGTGAACAGGGACAACAGGGTAGGAAAGTGTCAAATGTTTCCCCCCGCGGGAAATCGAACCCGGGCCCTCCTTTGTGAAAAATGGAGCTTTAGCCCCCCAGGCCCCCGGGGCACAGTTACTTTTGTATGTGACGCGGTTATACTTTTTTAAATGTCTGTAACTTCACTTTGGATCATTTACATATAAAAAACCTGATTTTCTGTTTGTGCTTTTTTCGGCACTTTCAAAATTACACGTAATCTTTTGTTAATGATGTTTTCCTTAATTATGAGATGTTTTATTAGGTTATTGTAAAAAACTGAACCTTGTTTCCACTGGCAGCAAAATTTAGATCCAAACTATAGTTTGCTCCTTTCTGGGGGAAAAGCTTACTGGAGACTCGTCTGAGGGCTTACACAATTTTCACCTAATTACTTTTCGGGTGTCCCCACTTTCTTGGTGGGTGGTATCGCTGCCTAATAAAACGTCCGTCAGAGGGAAGCACCACTCAACGAGCACCTCTCATGCCAACATGATCTTGGTAAGCACAATTTTACTACCAGACTTGAAAATGAACATAATCTAGAGAGCAATTAGGACTTATTGGTTTCTGAAAAACAATTGTTTACCATGAAGATTTTGTCCGATATAGTTTCTTCCTTCTGGGTAATGCTTACCTGAGAGTGAGGTTTACAAAGTTTTATAATTTTTTCGTTTCTTCATTTCTATGCTTCGTCTATATAACTCTAGAGAAGCACCACTAACAGTGACTCTATGCAAATCTTTAACACATTTTACTACCAGTTAAATAGAATAACTAGAAGATTACCATGTTTCTTAAAGTTGGTCAGCCTCAGTAAACCAAGTTTAGATTTGTAGAATGTTTATTCTTCTTTTTACTCACTAATACTTAAGAAATCGTAATACACGATTTCAAATTTAAAACCATACGCCGGATTAACACGGTACAGAAAGTCCTTGAATGTCCCGCAGTGGTTAATCCGCGGTTATCGTCTTTTTAACTACGTAACTGTTAATCGCAAAAATTAACATCCTTGAATGCTTTCTGGACCTGAGATAAATTTTGTACATGCCCTTGTCTTAAAAAGTTTGTATACAAGTAGTACTTCGAACGTAATGTATTCCTTTTTGGTTCTCCTGCAGAAGGTGGTATTGTGCACTCTGGCGGCTGTTATTGTGGCCGCCGAACTCCCGTCCAAATCTTACTCTTACGACCCACCCAGACGAGGTTTGGGAAGGTTGCCAGGTGAAGGTTTAGGAGGTCCAGGTGGCACAGGCTTCGTAAGTTCAACTGGCACGGGCGTCAGAGGTTCAGCTGATACAAGATTCGGAGGTTCAGCTGGTACAGGCTTCGTAAGTTCAACTGGTACAGGTTTTGGAGGTTCAGGCAGTACAGGCTTCGGAGGTTCAGCTGGTACAAGATTCGGAGGCACAGCTGGTACAGGCTTCGGAAGTTCAGCTGGTACAGACTTTGGAGGTTCAGCTGGTACAGGCTTTGGAGGTTCAGCTGGTACAGGCTTTGGAGGTTCAGATGGTACAGGATATGTCGGTTCTGCTGGAACAAGGACCGGAGGTTTAACTGGTACAGGTCTCGGAGGTACAGCTGGTACAGCCTTAGGTTCAGCTGGTACAAGAGTCGGAGGTTCAGCTGGTACAGGCTTCGGTGGTTCAGCTGGTACAGGTTTCGGTGGTTCAGCTGGTACAGGTTTTGGAGGTTTAGATGGTACAGGCTACGTCGGATCTGTTCTAACAAAAGACATAGGTTCAACAGGCACAAGGCTTCGGTGGTTCAGCTGGTACAAGATTCGGAGGTTCAGGTGGTACAGGCTTTGGAGGTTCAGCTGGTACAAGATTCGGAGGTTCAGTTGGTACAGGTTTCGAAAGTTCAGCTGGTACAGGCTCTGGAGGTTCAGCTGGTACAAGATTCGGAGGTTCAGTTGGCACAGGCTTTGGAGGTTCAGATGGTACAGGATACGCTGGTTCTGCTGGAACACGGACCGGAGGTTTAACTGGAACAGGCTTCGGAGGTACAGCTGGTACAGCATTAGGAGGCTCGGCTGGTACAAAAGTCGGAGGTTCAGCTGGTACAGGCTTTGGTGGTTCAGCTGGTACAAGATTTGGAGGTTCAGCTGGTACAAGCGCTTCGGAGGTACAGCTGGTACAGCCTTAGGAGGTACAGCTAGTACAGGCTTCGGAGGTTCAGCTGGTACAAGATTCGGAGGTTCAGCTGGTACAGGTTTCGGAAGTTCAGCTGGTACAAGATTCGGAGGTTCAGCTGGTACAGGCTTTGGAGGTTCAGCTGGTACAGGCTTTGGAGGTCAAGATGGTACAGGATACGTCGGTTCTGCCGGGACGAAGGGTTTAGCTGGTACAGGTTTCGGAGGTACAGCTGGTACAGCCTCAGGAGGTTCATCTGGTACAGGCTTCGGTGGTTCAGCTGGTACAAGATTCGGAGGTTCAGCTGGTACAGGTTTTGGAAGTTCAGCTGGTACAGGCTCTGGAGGTTCAGCTGGTACAAGATTCGGAGGTTCAGTTGGTACAGGCTTTGGAGGTTCAGATGGTACAGGATACGCTGGTTCGCTTGGACACGGAACGGAGGTTTAACTGGAACAGGCTTCGGAGGTACAGCTGGTACAGCTTTAGGAGGCTCGGCTGGTACAAAAGTCGGAGGTTCAGCTGGTACAGGCTTTGGTGGTTCAGCTGGTACAAGATTTGGAGGTTCAGCTGGTACAAGCGTCGGAAGTTCAGCTGGTACAGGTTTTGGAGGTTCAAGAGGTACAGGCTTCGGAGGTACAGCTGGTACAGCCTGTACAGCTGGTACGGAACGTGGTTCAGCGGAACAAGAACTGAGGTTAACTGGTACAGGTTTCGGAGGTACAGCTGGTACAGCCTCAGGAGGTTCATCTGGTACAGGTTTGGGTGGTTCAGCTGGTACAGGCTTTGGAGGTTCAGATGGTACAGGATACGCTGGTTCTGCTGGAACACGGACCGGAGGTTTAACTGGAACAGGCTTCGGAGGTACAGCTGGTACAGCTTTAGGAGGCTCGGCTGGTACAAAAGTCGGAGGTTCAGCTGGTACAGGCTTTGGTGGTTCAGCTGGTACAAGATTTGGAGGTTCAGCTGGTACAAGCGTCGGAAGTTCAGCTGGTACAGGTTTTGGAGGTTCAAGAGGTACAGGCTTCGGAGGTACAGCTGGTACAGCCTTAGGTACAGCTGGTACAGGATACGTCGGTTCTGCCGGAACAAGAACTGGAGGTTTAACTGGTACAGGTTTCGGAGGTACAGCTGGTACAGCCTCAGGAGGTTCATCTGGTACAGGTTTGGGTGGTTCAGCTGGTACAAGATTCGGAGGTTCAGCTGGCACAGGCTTCGGAAGTTCAACTGGCACAGGCGTCAGAGTTTCAGCTGGTGCAGGCTTTGGAAATCAAGATGGTACAGGATACGTCGGTTCTGCCGGAACAAGAACTGGAGGTTTAACTGGTACAGGCTTCGGAGGAACAGCTGGTACAGCCTTTGGAGGTTCAGCTGGTACAAGAGTCGGAGGTTCAGCTGGTACAGGCTTCGGTGGTTCAGCTGGTACAAGATTCGGAGGTTCAGCTGGCACAGGCCTCGGAAGTTCAACTGGCACGGGAGTCAGAGGTTCAGCTGGTACAGGCTTTGGAGGTTCAGATGGTACGGGCTACGTCGGTTCTGCTGGAACAAGGGCCGGAGGTACAACTGGTACAGGCTTTGGAGGCTCAGCGAGTACAAGCTTCGCAGTCTCATCCACTAGGGGCATAGGAGGTTCATTTGGCACAGGCTTCGGAGGTTCACCTGGTGTAGGCTTTGGAAGCTCTGCTGGTGGAGGCTTCGGTGGAGTTGGTAGTGGAAGCTCTCCTAGTGGAAGTTACAGCCCTTCAGGTCCTGTGGTCCCAATCTTAACTGATGAGCGTCAGGGACCTGACCAGGCCGGCAACTATAACTTTTACTTCGAGACTGGTGATGGCATCAGTCGTCAGGAGCAGGGCGCCCCCCAGGGCCCAGCTGGTGCCGTGGCAGCCCAGGGAGGATGGTCGTAAGTAATCTTCATACTGTTGCAGATGTGACTATATAAAATAAACGACATTTTTATAGTATGATACATTTAGACTCGAAAACCGTAGCAATATGGAATCTAATAATATTGTGTTTCAGATTTACTTTCCCCGATGGAACTCCCGCTGTTTTCAAGTTCGTAGCAGATGAAGGTGGTTATCGTGTGGAATCTGACCTGTTGCCCACGCCCCATCCTCTTCCCGCCCACGCTATCGCCCAGATCGAGAAGGCTCGTCAGGAAGACGCTGCTGCAGCTGCTGCAGATGGACGTGGATCATACGATGCTTCAGGCTCTGCCTCTCAGTTTACTGGAGCACCTGCTGGTGGCTTCGGTGGTTCACCTGCTGGTGGCTTCGGTGGTTCACCTGCTGGTGGCTTCGGTGGTTCACCTGCTGGAAGCTTCGGAGGCTCACCTGCTGGTGGCTTTGCAGGTTCTTCTAGACCAGGATTTGGAAGCTCAACTAGAGGCTCTACCGGTGGTTTCAGTGGAGGTTTAGCTGCTGAAGCCTCTGTTGTAGCTCCCAGCAGGGCCTACGGTACCCCATGAGCATCACCACTTCTATTATTGACTCCCTAGTCCCACTGCTGTTATGTTAAGCTTCATCCACCTCATGTTAACACACGGGGTCTGTTTATCTGGTGTGATGTGGTCCATACGCTTATTACTTTTACTGTTAAATATATGATCTAAATAAAAGATTCTGAAACACAGTTTTTTAGTTATTCAAAACCCTTCTTAGGTGCTGGGGTGCGTTGATTCTGTTAAATATCTCTTGGTCCGATGAATTGAAGATACTTCCCCTTTCATGGGTTTAAAAATTATTTTTTTTCTTTTCCTCAGCTGCTACGGAAATAAAAATTATATAAAAATTGCAATTAAACTTTTAAAGTAATACGATAAATAAGATATGAAGAAAATACACTTACGTAAAACAAAATATTTTTTTATGTTAATGTGAATGTAGATACCATCAGAACTGTCTTCATTATTCCTAATGTGAGGTTGAAGAATTAAACACGATAAAGATACCTAAGTGCTGCAACAGTGTGTAATTCTTCACCGAGTTGTATTCGTGTTTCTGTACGAAATACGCAATATGAAGATAAAGCTTTTATTGAGACTTCTCGATCAGGGCTGAGCTTTATCAACTCGTGCGAACGATACCTTTTACTAGTTTACTTCTCTTCAATGGAGGCTCCTTGGCGCAGTGAAGAGGCTCTTGGTCTGATGAATTAGACCTTCTGGTCTCCTTCCTCAGACAGAACCTAATTACCTTCAATCCCCCCTCCCTATCCCATCCTCCTGTATCCCAACCTCCCCATTCTCCCTTTTCTCTTTCCTCCCCCTGCCATTCCTCCCTTTTCCCGGTCCCGTTTGTAGTCTCTGGGGTGCTCCCCTCTGGCATTACGGTTTCTGTGTAGGGGGAAGTGTGCCAGGGTTCATCCTGCTCCGTGGGGTTCCTCGGGAGTGGTGTAGTTAGCGGTGGAATCTCGATCACTTGGAGGCGCCCTGCTTCCTTTCCGAATTTCCATGAGGTGGGGTGGGGTGTCCTACAGGTGATGGGTGTATCTCCAGAGGCTGCCTGTCGGGTCTGAGAGGTGGCAGCCGAAGGATGTATACTTTGTGGCGGGTATCCGACTGCCCTCTTTTTTGTCCACAGAGGTGGCCGGTAGATGCGAGGTTGTTACCCTGGAGCGCTGGTTTACTAGCGCGAAAGGTACAAGGTACGGTATGGCACGGGTTCCATAATGCATCTGCACTGCTGGTGGTCTCGAGGTTCTCTAGGATGAGAGGGGAATTTACGGTCCTTTCATGCCTTCTAGTAATTGTCCCTCCGCAGTCCCTCTAATTTTTTTTCTTTTATATTTTCTTTAAAATAATAAGAAAAAAGTACCACCGTCATGGAGTCTTCGTTCTGTGGCCCCCCTCCTCCTTCCAGACCCCTTTTTGTTACCGCATTCTGTTCTGACCCAGCTTCGTTATTGGACCATTCTACAGACTTTTCCCATACCCCTGTACCTCCTTCTGGTGACACTTTGTCACCTGCTCAGGTGCCAAGGCTCCGTCCATTTCTTCTTGTACCTCTGCCTTTTGCATGTCTTTAACTATGCATCCGGCTTCCCCAAATATGGTGCGACGGTTCTTGGAACGCCCACCTTCCTCAGGTCGGGCCACCCGCGGTCCTACGCCTAAACATTCCAGACCATTTGCTGACGACGGTTCTTCATTTCTGCTCATTCCACCCAGAAATGACCTACACGAAACCCACTTCCTTTACACATCTTTGGCGCTCTCGCTCCGCCTTCAGGGGAATCTTCCTCGTTTTCCTCTCGTGGTGATCAGTTGGAGACTCTTCTCACTTCTCATCCTCTTCACGTTTTAAATACAGGTGCTCCCACCTGCTTTGACTCTTGCATTCAGTCTCTCTCTTGCATCGATCTTTCTACCTGTTCCTCGTCAATTGCCCTTGATTACGCTTGGTCTGTTCTCCAGGATTTGCATGACAGTGATCACTTTCCTATTATTCTTACTTTTACTACTTATTCTCGACCGTCTCGTAGCCCCCACTGGCAATTTGGACGAGTGAATTGGGACTTATACTCTCATCTTACCACTTTTTGTGGGGACCCTTCTTCGTCCTCTATTGATGAGCTGGTGCACCAATTTTCGACCTTGGTTTTCTATTCCTCAAACCTCAGGTGGCATTCTCAGACATGCTTGCCTTGGTGGTCTCCTGTGTGTACCCATGCAATGCGTTTGAAACGGGCTGCATGGGGTTATCAATATAATCGGACCGCAGATCGTCTTTTGGATTTTGAATGGGCAAGGGCAGTCTCTCACCGCATCATACGTGACGCTAGACACACTTGTTGGCCAGACTGTTTCTACTGTTACCTTGACTTCACCTACGTGTGGTTTGGAAATAGGTACGGAAGTTGTGTTGCAAGTACGCTCCAGACCCAGCTCCCGTTTTGCGGGTTGCTGGTGCTAGTGTTGCGAAACTTTTTGAAATTGCTATGGAAATCGAGAATTATCTTGTCCGTGTATCCCAAGGGCTTCACCTCTATCCCTCGTTTCTCGCTTCTAAGTCTGCCAGGAAGTAATCGCCCTTGGATTTCTCTTCTAATGGGATGGACCATATAGTGTAAGTTTTACTCTCTTAGAACTAGAGTCCATGCTTTCCGCTTCCTGGTCATCGCCAGCTGGGTTCGATGACATTCATATCCGTATGCTACAGCATCTGCATTCGACAGCCCTTACAGTCCTTTTGCGTCTTTTCAATCTTTCTTGGGCACGAGGGATTCTCCCTCAACAATGGAAATCTGCCATTGTACTACCGTTTCGCAAACCAGGCACCTCGGGGCTTGATACCTCTCACTATCGTCCCATTGCTCTGACCAGTGTAGTCTGCAAGGTTATGGAACGATTGGTGAATAGACATCTGATATGGTATTTGGAGACTCGCAATAGTCTTTCTTCTTGCCAATATGGCTTTCGCAAGGGCTGCTCTACTTTGGACCCCTTGCTCCACTTAGATACGTATGTGCGAAATGCCTTTGGAAATAAACACTCCATCCTAGCAGTCTTTTCTAATCTTGAGAAGGCACATGACACCACTTGGAGGTATAACATCTTAGCCCAGGCCCACTCCTTAGGCCTGTACGGTAATCTACCGACACACATACCGACCTTCTTTGCTGCTTTCTTATATGAAAGACATTCTCGTGTCCGTGTTGGCGGCACGCTTTCCTCAGACTTTGTTCAGGCCGAGGGAGTCTTTGTCACTACCCTTTTTCTCTTGGCTATAAATAACCTACCTTTCGTTCTTCCATTGCATATTTGGTCTTCACTTTATGTGGATGACTTCGCTATAGGTTACGCAGGCGCCAACTGTAGCGAAATTCTTTCAGGATGCGATTGACCGTGTTTCCCATTGGGACACTTCTCATGGGTTTAAACTTTCTAGTGTGAAAACCTATTTCATTACCTTCACTAGACATCGTCTTGTCCCAGATATTCCATTGTATTTACACGACTCACGTATCCCAGAATGTGATACGGTCAAGTTTCTCGGCCTTCTATTTGATCGCCGGGTGACATGGAAACCTCACATTTCCTTTTTGAAGGCAGCTTGCCTTGGTCGGCTGAATCTCCTTAAAATTCTTATGCATCGTTCATGGGGAGCAGATCGCCGGACTCTCCTCCGTTTACATTCTACCCTAGTCTTGTCCAAGCTGGATTATGGGGACCAAGTCTATTCTACGGCTTCTCCTACAACTCTTTCTAAGTTAGATCCCAGTCATCATCAGGTTCTACGTTTACGTCTTGGTGACCTTCGTGTTCATTCTACGTATAGGTTGGTCTCAGACGTTAGTAGAACCCCATTATTTGTTCGGCGCCCCTGCTTACTCCGACCGTTTTCTCTTCATCTTCACTCCGATCTTTCTCCAGTTGCCTCCCTTGTATGTTCATGTAGCATCTGCTTTTTCCCTTGAGAGGTTCCGGCGGTTTGTGTCTGTTCTCCCCTACTGTTCTCTCCTACCTATGGCCGCTTCTCGCTCTCTCTTTCTTGGTCACTTCCGGTCGCATGCTCATGCCGTCGCTGTTTATACAGATGGTTCTAAATCTTCTGACGGTGTTGGGTTCGTGGCGATGTTCCCTAACGATGTTATCCGGGGTCATTTGTTAGACTCGACTAGTATTTTTACCGCCGAGTTGTATGCCAGCCTGATAGTACTTCTCCATATTACATTTATATCTCACACACAAATAACCCGCACATAAAAGAGAGAAGCTTACGACGACGTTTCGGTCCGACTTGGACCATTTACAAAGTCACACTGTGACTTTGTAAATGGTCCAAGTCGGACCGAAACGTCGTCGTAAGCTTCTCTCTTTTATGTGTGGGTTATTTGTGTTTCGTTCCAGTCACGGTATTGTGCCTTTTTTTGTTACATATATATCTCTTTTGGCGTTTGTGGTGATTTCAGAATCCTTCAACACTTTACAGGCCATTAAACAATTTGACTCCTCTCATCCATTGGTCCAACGTATTCAGCTTTGATTGCGCCGTGCGGCTAGCAAAAACAAAAACATCGTTTTCTGTTAGGTCCCTGAACACGTTGATGTGCAGGACAATGAGCATGCGGATGCTGCTGCGCGGTCAGTGGTACATGATCTTCCGGTTTCCTATAGAGGTATTCCATTCAGGGATCATTTCAGTCATTTCTGCCCATCTTAGCAGCCGTTGGCAACAACGGTGGTCGGACATGCACCATAACAAATTGCACTCTATTAAACCACTTTTAGGTTTGTGGCCATCTTCTTACCACCGATTGCCGTACTCGGGAGACTGTGCTCTCCCGTTTCCGCATCGGCCATACTCGCCTTACTCATGGGTATCTCATGGAGCGACATCCTATTCCTCTGTGAGGTTTGTCGGGTCCCTATTTTGGTTCTTCACTTTCTTGTGGATTGTCCAGTTCAGCGAACTCGCAGGATTTACCTCCACCGACGCCGCCGCCCTGCCACTGATACCTTATCTT